AACTATCTTTGTGGTGAGACTTATCGTGAAAAATTTTTGCATCGACCGATCATCAATCGTAATAACTGATAAGTGTTGTTCAATTTTACTGCTTATACCGCAATCTGGACCATGATGACAATTAACAATCCTCGCTTTATCAGGAATTTAACATTTTTTTCTAAAACATCTTACAAGTATTTTTTTAACAAACACGCGTATACCCCTTTATACTGCAACGCCATTCTACAGCATCATAAACGTATAGATAGATTGCTTGATGATAATCTAACACTTTTTTCTTTATTTTGTAGCTATGGTGGACGATCGGAATGACGTTTCTTGTGACGAGGCACGTCGGGTGTTACGGCGCTTAGGTTAGTATCCATGTTTGAATTCTTATCATAGCAGGTAAAAAGATATTTTCATCACTTCTATTGTTCGTCTATAAACTTTACATGATTCTATTAATACGTTAGATAAGGATTAATTTAATTTAATTCACGTGAAATACGATCGACTTTGTAGCTACTTCAAATACTCTATCAAAAAATAACACCTTTAGCTCATCGATTTTATTCTCGTGATACGTTATCAAATAGGAAGGTTTTACTCATCCTCTTCTTATCATTATAGGAATTAATTTTACTTAATGCAGTATGCAATTATGGGATTCTCTTGTATTATTAATTCATTCCCATACATTCCTTGCCTTATCGATTACAAAGTTTCTCTTTACTTTTATAGAATTAGAAGCCTACTCGTCCATTACCAGTGCCTTGCGGGCACAAGGCGATTTGTGCAAGTATGTCGACGTTTGCTATAGAATGTAGAGAAAGATCTAGTAATCTTATTTTATTTGACTTACTCAGCATAAATACTGTACATGAAATATATTTTTTTCTTTTTCACGTTGTACTTACGATATTTATAGGGAAAAAAAGCAATTACTCCAGGATATATGTTATCAGCTAGGGTAAATATGTACTGCCTAGGTTGTTAAACCTACGCATTAAAGGATTGATTTGTTTCAGTTTACCCTTGATAAAATTGTTTTTGTGATTATTTGGATAGAATTTCTACTGAAAGATATCGGGCTGAACTTCGTCGTGCTGCTAACGATGATATGTTAACAACTATCGCTAATAGGTTTGTTGGAAAATGGAATCTTTAGTTTTAGATATATCTGACTTTGAAAATAAGTTACCTGTTACTGATTTACTGTGGTATTTATTTTTACTTGCATATTTAATGCTTAACATATTTTTAGATTATCTGGGTCAAACAGTTCCGAAGAATGGCTCTCTGAGGGCCGACGTCTCGCACCAGTTGTGCCTCGTCTTGTACCTCAAACCGTACTTTCTCCAATTGCTAATGCGGCTGCAACTACGTCTTTTATGATTGCTAGCGGTAGACCTCCTACTATCGAGTACGTAATTTTGTAGTAGCTGTAAAGGAGTTTGTTTGTAATAAATTTTGACTAGATGGCGTAACTAATGCCATTGCATGTGCATACGTATGTTACTGTATGCCTATAATTTGTTATTGCTTTTAGTGCTGTACTTTTATAGGATAAATTGCTGAAGAAATATTCAATGAAATTTATTGTCTTTGATATAACATTTTATTTCGTAATAGAACCATTTCATTGACTAAAAGTGATAAGCAAGATTTAAATATTAATGGAGCGCATAACTCTATCGAACTACCATCATTTGCGGATAAACAAAGCAAAATTACTCCAAACGGTACCACTGATGAAAAGAATGATTCCACATCGAATCCTGCTGTTCGTGTAAAACGTAAGCGTCGTATGCCTATGAGTGACAGTAATAATCGTGATCGCTCCAAGCTGTCCAAATCGGCGTCCTTACATGCTTTAACTTCTAAGTTATCTAAACAAACTGCAGTGGTATCACCATCTAGCGAAATCATAGCACAAATTATGAATCCTGTTACCAGTGAAGCAGTGACTGCAACTATTAACAAAAAATCAAATCGTAGTAATAGTATAACTTCTGCTTCTCAATCTATATCACCTATTGAGACAAATAGAAAGAATTTGATGCCATCATCCAAAAAACAACGTTCAAATTTAACATCTGCTGCCTCAAGTATTGAAAATCGCCATTCTTCTACTACTACTGTAACAACAACTACTACCACTGCGAGTAGTGCCTCACCTTCGTCATCACTGCAAGTTAATAAATCAACTTCAAAGCAAGTTAATAAACATAGAAAATACCCGTCAAATATAAAAACATCTAAATCATTCTTTACCAATTCATCTGCTAGTCTCACGACGGCTTCCGCTAGCATAAAAACGACAGTATCATCGATTAGTGGTTCTACATCGACTAAAATTAAAGTTAAGCTTCCAAGACAACGATCAAAAGCTACCAAATCAAAAATTTCTTTAGTAGTACCTGCCATGATCAAACCTGATAAAGTTAAGTCAGCTACTACTGTAGCTTCTGGAGCCACAACCTCTTCTACTTCAGTATCCGTTGTCAATCGTACCGGTATATTAACATCTACCTCATCAATACCAACTACTGCCGTCTCCGAGTCAAAAGGAATAAGTAACATTACCTCCTTATTAAGGACGACAGGTATTAATGCATCCTATCAATGGACTTTATGCGATACTATTCTCATAGAATTGCAGAGCATGTAATGGTGTTGTAAAACTAGTTCATAGTTTGTTAACAATATTGTTATAAGTTTAAGCCGGCTCCATATCAATTGTTAATTGTTTTACTTCATATTTGTTAAAGAAAACATTCGTGTAACTTCTTATAGCAGAAATATGTGTAAAAAATTTAAAAGTAAAAATCTAAAAATATCTATTTTTTGTAGCTAAGCAAAATCGCCTTGCAACAACAACTATCTCGACGTCATCTCCTTTTTGTTCAAATCCTACGCCAACTGAACAACATTCGACTAATTCTGTTGTTGCTACAATGGGTAGTCAAAATATAACTCATAGTGCATTGAATTCTACGCCTAGATTTACGGTTCCCATAGATATTAGGGTATGACTTGTCAATCGATTACAAATTGCTATTATGAAGTTATACTTGATAATTAACACTACTTTAAAATTCTGAATCTATTATAGAATTTACAAGATCAAAGTAGGAAATTGACAGAAAGTCTAAATAAAACAATTTTAAGCACTTCGTTGCAACGTAACTCATCCAAGGCCACATCTAAATTGTTATCAGAGATTAGCAAATCTAAAACAACTGGTCTCTCAGAAAATACGACACGTGGAATTTTAGATAGACAACAAAAACGGAGCGAAACGACTAACCAGGGTAATATAACTCAGCCATTTGGAAAATCTGACAATAAGAATACGAAAAAACAGGTAAAATTTATACTGTAGAAGTTATTAGAAATACATATGGTAACTGTAATAGTCTACTTGATTACACTCTAATTTAAAATAGGATGGGCAGAATACAATAGCTTCCCTTGCTATGCAATCTGCAGAACACGATGAGTCACAAGATCAGTCTCCCACAAAACCATCTTTGACGAATTTAACTAGTAAACTAGGATTAGAATTTTCGAAATCTGTAAACGCCCATATTGGTGGCTTTGACGATGCTAAGAAGAATAATAACACTAGTAATATAAAAACAGATAATAAAGAACTAGAGATTGATACTTGTCATCTGCGGAAAGAAAGCGCAATTGACAGTAGCACGCCAGTAGTCAACGTTACAAAGAGTACCGACGAAAACGTTGAGAATAGAGGAATAATATCAGTAAAAACTGTGGACTCCTCGAATGATGATATGATGGAAGAGAAAGCTTTCTCCCAAGTGGAAAGTAATGCTATAGATGAAACTATCGGCGAATCAAAGGATCATATTAATGAAAGAACTGCTAACTTACAAGAAGGTAGTAGTTATATGATTAATTAAGTTATAATTACTTTCATGGAGGTACTGAGTTAATTTTATAAATTTTAGACATTATGGTAGCCACCGATGACCATGATTATTGTATAGATAGTTCTACGCTATCCCATAAAGTTAGCGAAAAAGTGACTTGCTCCGATATCTCCTTGCAAAGTAGCTCAAATGCTAACGAGGCAGAATCTCCGAAGATGCAAACAGAAACTGATCGCATGGATTTCTTTGAAATGAGCACTAATGGAAGTGAAACATCAGGTCTAGTAGTAATCAATTGTATCGCAACATGCACATTTGATAGCGGAATAATAACAATATGCGTGTAAGATTGTATATAGAAATACTGATAAATCTATCTCATTTACTTATGCAGAATCTAATAATCAAATTGACAAAGGTACTACAGTGGTAACTAGCGATGACTTAAAGGAAGATCGATCCTATAATTTAACTTCACATATTGATGATGGCGAAGCGGTCATGGACAATGGAACGGCTGACATGGTATCGGTGATAAGTACGGATGATAGGTCAAATCACAAGTGTGAATTATCAAATGTTTCTGGTGATGGCAATTCGATATCGATGACGGAAGCTATCGCTGGAGCTACTGCGGCTAAAGCTACTGATGAAAGTACTAACGTTAGACAAATTGACGTAACAAACGATTTCGAAATAGTTGTTGAAAAAATTGAAGTGGGCAGCGGTAAAATTCATCATGTTGCCCATGCAGAATCAAATATTAAGATGGAAAGCATGGAAAAAGCGACGACGTATACTGATCTTTTTGATACTATCAGTGAGGACTCTATGCCTGACAATAATTCAGAAGTTCCAATGTCAATCGATGTAACTGATACTGAAGTAGATGCCACCGATAGCTGTAATTATAACGAATCAGAGGCTACAACAAAACTAACTGGTAACTCTCAATCCCAGCGAGAAGTCGCAGATGTTACTGTAAGACCAGATTATGTCGAACGCGATAGTGTTAATGTAATTGTAGGTGCAAAATTTGATATGGAGAATCCGAACAAAGCGAAAGTCGGAGTAAAGGTAAAAGATGACGACACAGATATTATCCTAGAATCTAACACTGAAGTTGGTAATACCAGTTGGACTGAGATAAAAAATAATTACAATGAGGTAAGAGATAGTAGTCATCTCACGCCGAATGATAGTGAAGCAGATCCAGCTGTTATTCAAGGTACCGAAGCAGAATTAGCAGCCCAAGTAGATGATAGTGAAGGAGGTGAGGTGGTTACTGAAAACCTTACCAACGTTAGCAGCGAGTCACAGGCTGAGATAAATAGCGTTGGAATCCTAGAGATAGATGCAGACTTCAACAAAGGTACTAGCAGCGAAGTCTACACTGATATCGATATACATTTGGAAGGTAATCTGCTTAAAGAAAGTGTCCGAAATACTGATGTTATACCAATGGCTACCATAGATGCAAAAGAAGACAAAGTTTTAGATAACACTACAAATCTGGAAATTGAGTCTGGTGGAAAGGAAAATCTAATGACCAAAGTGAGTGCTAATTTGGTCGAAGCAAAGTTAGAAGATGATAACGCTGATAACGCAAAGTTTAAAGATGAAACTACGGGTATTAAGCCAGATGACAGTAAATACTTGGACAAGAAAACCGTACAGATAGAGGATTCTAACGTCACCGAATGTAGCATTATGTCTTCCACATTACGTGGAGACAATGATAATGTTAAACAAGCAGATATTGCAACTGAGAAGATAGACTCTGTCTCGTTCGAGACGCGAAATAGTGGATCAAGTCCCAAAATAGTTAGTGTTTCATCATATTCCAACTTTGATGAGTTACCCTTGAGAAGCGTTAGCACTGAAATAACTGCAGTCGATAGTTTTAAAAATACTAAATTTCGTGCTAAATTAAATATCCAAGAGGATGCAATGAGGACAGTGAATAATGCAAACTACAATGTACCACAAGTGGAGAAATCTAAGATTGAATCGAATTTAGGCAATTTTACAGATGTCGCCCGAGTGGTCAAACCTGAATCAAGGAATGAACTGGCTCAAAGGACTTACGTTGTTGAAAACTCGATTTCTGAAGAATCTTTAAAAAAAGATACTGTCTCCGATGCAAACTCGACTTCTGTTTCTGATGTAATAAGTTTTATGGATTTTGGAATTAGTAATCGAAGAACTGAAATTACTAACATTGGTTCAAATACCAAAATATTTAATTCCAAAGAAGAGAACATGGATAGCAATGCTAGTTTGACAAATAGTATTACCATCAACTCTAGCTGTACAGCACTAAATTACGATGAGACAAGACTAACCGCTGATAAGTCTGAGACTGCTAATTTAATTGCAGGTTCTGAGATAGGTAACAATGTTACAGGTAAGATCTTAAACTTGGGAACTGAAGTTGCTAGTCTTGTTGATAACAATCAAACGACTAGCGAAGTTAATTCCGGAAAAGAAGCTAAAAATACGAATGTTAAAGTCTGCGAATCAAATAAATCTACATCGGAAAATCAATCCACGAATATTTTGAATGTTGTATCTCTCGATTCCTTTGCAAATGTTACGGACTTTGATCATGAAAATATAAGAAGCACTAGCCCAAATACTGTCGATATAGATGCAAATGATGTATCGAACGATTTGCTGAGGAAATCTGAAACAATCGTACATACATTTAGTAATTCAGAAATTGAAATGGAGAACAATAATGAATCTTCCGATGTATCAATATATGCTAACGAGTTACCTCTCGATAATAAATTAGAGACAGTAGACGAAGTGCCAACTGAAAGTACGGACTCTGAAGATATCCTTACCAGTGATGACCAGTCGGCGATATCTGATTCGATGTACAATATCGCTGTAAACTCGAATCATCAAAGTATTGATAATGGATCGTCTCAATTTAATAACAATCAAATTTATGGAAATTTTCGAAATACGTTATTCTCCGAAAATGAATTGATTAGAGTTGAAGAAACAAAAAACTTGAAAGATTTTCCTGATAATATAATGATCCGAGATATATCAACTGTAGCCAATAAAGTTTTACCTATAGATATTCTTGAAGATGATAAACGAAGTAATGTCGATAACTGTTCGCCTGGTACAAGCAACAACGATAATGGAAATGATTTGGATAGTTCAGATAAAGCGGATGTTGTAAAAGATTCTAGCAATGGTCATATGGATATTAATTCGAATGAAATCGCTGTTAATAAATCAAACCATGTCGATGATTTTAAAACAATCCTCAAAAGAAAGAAAAATTCGAAACGTAAAAGAAAAATTGAAATTTCAAATAAACGAAGCCTGAATTCATTAGGAGTAGAACAGAAGTGGATAAAAGCTGCTTTCAAGTAAAGAACTATTAAAAGGCTGATGAATTAATGTTATTTGGCGTAGATTCTGATGAAATTTTATTTTTGTAGTATACTCCACCGTATATGTAGATTTAAAGGTAGTGGAAGACCCAAAAAGACATATACTGCAGCGTCTTGGTTTTTAAAACCAGGTAAATTAAAGTCGCTATTATCTTGTTTATTCTTTTCTTTTCAACGTTATTTTGCAATTTTTCCGCCATAGTGGAAGAAAATCATGCCCCCGGATATTACGATGTTATCACAAATCCTATGGATTTCAGCACTATTAGAAAGAAGCTTGAGGTAATGCACTGGAATTTGTATTAGTAATATTAATATTGGGATTGATTTAATTGATATTTTATGCTATCTAGAGTGGTGCTTACGGAAATTATAGAGATTTTAATGATGATATGGAGTTAATAAAGACGAACTGTCATCTTTATAATCCGCCAGATCACGCTATTCGCAAAGTTAGTTAATAACACCATCATTATCGTATTGACTTGTCGTATTTGTTGCAATATTCCGCCGAAATAATATAGCTACCCAGAGTTATAAGATTTTAGGGGATTAAATTTAAGTTTAATATCGGCTTTTATGTATCCTTCCAGGATTGCGACGAAGTTTTTGATTTTTACCATGGAGAATATAATAAACTGTTAGCAAATTATGAAAATGTAGGTTAAAGTTTGCGTATACGTTGTATTCATTGTCTATACGAAATAATAAAATGATTGATGCTGAGATGAATTGGTATAATAGGACAACGAAGCTGAAGATTTCCAAGATTCGAAAAAATTCAGAGCTACTTCTGAAGAAACGGTATCATAGTAAAGTTTTATTGGTCTACAAAAGAAATGTTTCTGAGATATTGAGATGTATTCTTCAAAGCGACCGAAATCGTCTATTCAACGAAAAATTGATGTATTGTGTATATAGTACTAATAATTGCCAATTCAAAGGTTTCGAAAGATAAATTTTCTGCTTTCTTGTATATTGTGTAATTACTTTGTATACATAGAACTTTGGTCATTGAAAGTTAGTCTTATGGCATGGGTAGTTAGTTCGTATATTCCGAATGAAATACTCATACCTGATGTTGCATTAATATGATTATTTTCAAATAATATAGTTTTTTTGCAGTGTCAGAACAGCTATAAGAAAAGTTCATCAAATTTTTAGGTGTCATACTGCTGGTCTATTTGCATCGATTATTGATTGACTCATCAAGCGTGTTCCGAACAAAAAGGAAAATGTTAACGTTTTATATGTATGCAGTCTTATTTATTGTATTATATATTCAGTGCGATGTAACTTGTGCCATAGTTTGCTTTAATTTTTAACTTTATACGCGAACTAAAAAGTGAAGAATTTAAACATGGCAATAAAAGGAAAAGTAAATCTGGACAGTGGCTTGATATGTGCTGATTTACGTTGAACGTCTTATAGCAAAATTTAGGCTAGTAGGTATTGCTCTATCTGAAATAGGTCAACATAGGTATACGCGTATTAGTATATAGTAAAAATATAAAGTTAATTAATACCGTATTATTCCTTGCTCAAAATTATCCTTTGCATTCGCTCTTATACGTATTGTCTAACACAGACCCTAATTGGTCATAATCATTCCATAGATTATTCAAATGAAAATACACACTTGCGATCACAGTTAAAGTATAACATTTTATTGTGCTTGAAAATTGTATTGTAATCCAAGTCCATTAAATTTATCCAATTTTACAGTGAAGGTATGACCAACTTCGTAGACAACCGTAATACTGTACTATTTTAACCTTTTATTCCAGAATTTAAACAATTACCGGTACGTTAACATGCAATCTTATGCAATCTTATAGTAAATAGATTATAATAATTCATATTAGTTTTCCTATTAGGATTAACGATTGTATACACCAGTTATTGTTATCTCTTTTATTGATTTACGTAAATTAATAAAACTGCATTTACAACCATACTAGTTTAGTAAATCACTCAAATATAAGCATCAAACGATTGTCGTACGAGTGTATCCATACTGAAGTTATTCCTATTAACTAACAGTAAGAAGAAATAGAATAATTCAGTTGTCATTAGTATGAACGAATAAACCATATTCTATATCAAAGCCATCTTTAAATCAGAACGGAATATGACTATACTTGGATATGCTATCGCCTCTTGAAATCGCACAATTTTCCTTGATATCCTGACCAACATCGGCAGTTAAACCCATTCCGTTGTGGCCGACAAGTACCATAAATGCACGGATGGTCTTTGCATTTGAGAGTAGCTATAATATTACGTTCAGTTCAATCAACAAAATAAAATATTCTCCGTTTGTGAAAATATAACAGTTAAGTCTTTACTGCACTATTATTGGTCCGGATTGCTTATAGAATTACAAAGTAGAAAAGCTTAGAAAGATGACTTACGACATAAACCTTCCCGAATTTTAATATCATCTATCGCTAAGTCGCCTCGATATCCCTTACCTCTCACACCAAGAATTTGTAGCTAAAAGCAGTAAACTATAATCTGTTAATATTTCTTCAAAAGACTCATTGATTTTGTAAAAAAAAACTTTGCTGACCAGATGACTACCGTATCCCAGCGAAAATTGGACCTTTCTCCAAATATTTTTCCTGTTCCGAGAATAATGCACTTTAACAGTTTGATGATCTTTGATAATTAAGCTACCAATCGTTTTCCCATTAGCATTATACCATAATGAAAAGCAGTAATTGCCAATAAGTTCGAAGGCATCGGTCATTAATATGGCAGTGTCATTTTGATTACGTCCGGATGCCTCGATATAAGCATAATATCCTACAGTACACCACACGATTTCCATTTAAACTAGTTAATCTTGTATCACTGATAAAATATCGGACACTAATTTGCATAATGATAGCATATATATCACACTACGAGTCTTTTATCAGCAATAATCATAATCATTCAAATACCATAGTGCAATTTATAGACATAATATTTCCTAAAATTAGCCTGATTATATCGATTGTACTGTACAATTTACTTTCTATAGAAAATTTGCAGTGATAGCCTTATAAACTGCAAGTCTTCTTAGCTTTAAAGAAATACTAATATAATTCTTCTAAACTATAATTTATCCGAATTCTCAAGACACAGTATTTCATAAAGATAATTTAATCCCTAGTGACATCATACGCGTATATGCAATATTTACTGTATCGTACTAAAATTTACACATTTATGAGCATAACAACCTTTCTTTGTGTTCGAAGTATGATCAAATGTTGGCCCAGTTTTGACGGAACTTGTTTTTCCTCTGTGGCGAGTCCAGTTAAAGGTGGCATTAATAGAGTACTTCCAGCCACAAAAATCATACTGGAAAGTACAATTTATGTTGCTAATACCGGACTGAACAGCTAACAATGTAAAAAAGTACAGTAGAACAGTTAGTTAATAGTTCGTCAATTGGTAAAAGTCATATATGGCATTGCTAAGGTAAAAAGATCAATTATTAGTAAGATTGCAAATTAAGTTATCGGATTGTGTCATTGGGATGTCGATAAAAGTAGGACAGTAATCAAAGATAACACTATCATTTTTCTGCTAGTAAATCCGAGCCATCCCCTTTACTCTAGTCCGTTACATACATGGCAAACATTCAACTCCAACATCCTGCCGATGATAACAGTTGTGCTTTTCAAACCCATTATGTGAGCATTGGAATATATTTGATTCGTAGCCTCTGCAATTAAGTTCATCTATATAAATAGGCCCAGTTCCTGGGCCATATGATTGAATTCGGTGGGCTTCCATAAATCCAAGCTGTCGACAAATCACTTTGGCATCTCGAATATCAAAATGATTATCACATAACGTTCCCCAAACATTGTTGTATTTGATTTCTATACGTCCGTAGAAGCTTCCACCATTAGCCAAGCGAATATCAGGATTTACTATTATCGTACGTATATCAAATAGTAAAGAGAATTTAAGGATAACTATTAGCCATATATCGCTAAGAAAGTCAGAGCTTATAGACTATAGAAACAATTATACCAGCAAAGCAACTGATTCCCACGTCTTCGCTATGGCTACAATCATGTCTACCCAGCGCTTTATATGAACAATCCAGCAAGGAAGTTTCATTTCCCTGACAGAACACATTATCAAGCCAAATTGGACCTGTACCTGATCCAAATTCAGAAGCTGAATGTACAGCTTTAGCATTAGCGTAACCTAATTCACGGCATGCTACACCAGCTTCATCAACTTGAAAGAGATCATCACAAACTGTTCCCCATTGATTATTAGCGTAGATTTCAAGGCGACCAGTTTGTGTGTCATTGCTGCCGACTAATCGAATTTTTTTGCCTAAGAGCGAATAAAGTTAGATAAAGTTAATACTAATTATTCGAACATTTCGAAAGTATTTCTCTAATATTTAGCTAAAATCAATGTGCGTTGCTATTATACAGCCTTACCAGATTGCCTCCTTGGGTTACATATTAATCCTACATCTTGAAAATGATCACAATCTGAACAGCTAAACGGTCTCATAGAGCATTCGATTAATGATCTTTCCGATCCGTTACAGCGTATATCATCAAGCCATATCGGTCCTCCACCCAAACCAAATCTTGCGCAACAAGCGTAGTCCAAAGCCCCAACGTAGCCGAGTTGCCTGCATGCCACATTAGCAGCCAATTCATCAAAATAATCGCTACAAACAGTTCCCCACTCTCCGTTATTTAATATTTCTAAACGTCCTTCATAATGTGTCTTCCCATTTTGTAGTCGTAATTGGATCTCTATGATTGATTTGACCACAAAGATGGAAGGTACCGCACAATTGATTGTAAACGCATAATTGATGGATAGAAATAGCAAAAGCAAAAACACAAAATTAGCTACCCCACACATTTTAACGTATCCCAAAATATGATCTCGAATACGAATAACGAAAATTAGCATGATTTTTCAAAATGTATCGGGAATGTTCCGTGAAATGCATATGAATGATGAATTTACTGATAGGTACATGAACGTATTCCTGAAATTGATGCTATAGTAGTAAGATATGTAGATAGAAGGTATCTCGAGAACTTATGCACTTATATTTGCGTAATTGATAGTTATGTGTAGTGTACAGATAATGACAATTGTAGAATATTTTAAATTAAATTAAACTCAAATCAGTATATTAGGTAAAAATTTAGCATGACTGCCCTACCTGAAGCTGCTTGATTTCGATTAGTGGAGGTATCTTCTGGTCATTGAATTATACCCGTATTGTAAGAAAAAAAGGTGGAAACTGTATAAAATATATTACGATCTATCAGGTTTATGAGAATAATATTTTCTTTAAACTTACTAATACATATTATGCCAACATCTTCTTGATGGTTACAATTGTGTATAGACCAGCCATTATGAGAACACTCATGAAGAGAGGATTCATTGCCATGACAGACTAGATTGTCCATCCAAATTCTTCCATTGCCCTGACCAAAATAGCCACAGCATTTGAAACGTTCAGCCTGACTATATCCTAATTGTCTGCAAGCGATATGAGCAGCTACTATATCGAATTTATCATCACAAATGGTTCCCCATCGATTTTGATAAAAGATCTCCAATCGGCCTTCGCTTAGATTACAACCATGAACTAAACGTATCGGAACTACAGTAGGTAACGCCAAAAATGTAATTAAGTGAGTATAAATTACTATTGGATATTAAGTGCCGTACTAACTGCAAAATAAGTAACAACTGTCGCAAGTAGTATCATGCTGAAAGTTTGATAAAGAATTATAGCTACCACAATTTCGTCATATGGTGAAAGTGATGCAATATTTGTACCTTCCGATAAAAAAGTACCGGTGAAAAAGCAAGATAAAAGATAGAAATATCCGAGAATAATCATTTTGCACAAATTTGGAATTAAATATTCTGTAATCTTGAAATTAGTTTGCAAGGTCTATATCGCGATATCAATTCGAAGATTTATGAAGGGAATAAATTTGCTGAAATTGCCTGGTCTTGCCTATCTTTTATACCTACACGCAATTATTTACGATTACCATTGGGTGGTGTTGGTGCAATGTTTTTCATATAAAGCGATTTCCAGTGGTAGATTTAAACCCTAGTATCAAGCCTTGCTCATCACTATAGTATACGATCCTTTCTAAAACAGAAGCAGTAAATATAATGAGGTGTTTATTTTCTGAAAATATTTGTGTAGGCTAATACCAATACTATGGTGTTATTATTTTGTTGCTTTAGGGTTAAATGCGTGAATAATGAGATACTGACATAATTTTATTCTGCACAGCGGATTCATCGAGAAATTGTTGTTCACCTTAAGAGAATAACTGCTGAACCCTTTGAAAAGAAGTTTCATTATTATCTAGACATCATCTTGAGAGTAATTCGTTGTTTCTTCCTACACACACGAAAGTTTACGCCATTTGTCATCAGAATTTCACTAGGTCTTTTACAAATTAACAAGAAAGCCGAGTTCAATCTGGCCATTGAGCAGATTTAAAATGTGTACTGAACATTGACAGGATTAAAACTTGAAAGCAGTAACCGATGGTGATCCGCACGTGCAATAATAGACGTTGCTCTTAAGATCATTGGTAGTAGCATAGACTACTAGATATACCATGGTAGTAGTCGCGACATTTCTACTGCTTGTTGCTGCCATAGAGATAAAGCAAAATAAATACCAGACCTTAGTGTACTTTCATATACTCCTACATATATCGTAAATTTGCAATCATCATTATATTGTATATGACTACAAGCTAAATTAATGAATTGTCATCAAAGTTCAACATGCAGTTAATATCTTAAAATATCCATGCAGTCTTTTGCCTGTAGTAGTAAAGAGATATTGCTTGTTTGCTTAGCTTAATCTACCCCACTAGTTGAAGGATGGTCACATAGTTCATATTGGCAGTTACGTGATCTATGAAATATCTTCATGTAGAAAGGTACCGTTACTGCATATAGTGTACGTGCAGTATATTAATTAACGATTACTATCCACTCTTACTCGCCTGTAAAGATTTGACATTATAAATTGTACTAACAATCCTTGCTAGCCATTTTTGTCTATTTTGCGCAACGGTGATATATAATAACGTTAGTACTAAACATAACATCGTCATATCTTCTTCATTCTATACTATATTCAATCATAGCATAACAAAAAGGTCAATCTTTGTCGTTTGTAGCCAGCCATATGTCTCAACATTCTATAACTAAGAGAAGAGAAATGATCAAATCTATCCCCATCCCCTTTATTTATACTGAAACTTGGCCAGATTAATATTATCAACGATTATCTTATGCCGTTCCATGTAAAGGAAAAATGAAAATCGTCGTATGATTATGCTATCAGCATACGGCAACGTAACGACAGAAACTATAGCCAATTACATATCGCAAGATATTACTCTAATTTAGGACTCTGCTGATGAGCCAAATTATAAATGTACTCAAAGAGAACATTATAAGAAGCGTGTTGTAATTTAGTAATGGTTATTGTAACTTAGCAGGTTTACTTGGTATTGCAACGAGTACTTAATACCAGGCACTGTGTGCCATAAAGGAGTTCTTACATATCGATTTTAGGCAACTTTAGTGATTAATGTTTGTTTCTTACATCGTTATCTATTTGGATAGGAAGGAATAAAACAGTTTAAAAGAACGCATCAGGATGCTACTCGATGCCAAGGTCTTAACTAGAGTACCGTAGCGTGAAGCTAAAAGATATATATATATACTAGAGCGAAACGATAACAGTATGAAATAAAATTGAAATGTTTAGTTACAGCAGGAAAAGAGAGAAAACAGCACGCACTGCGTGTTTATTACTGTCATGTATATTATAGTACCACAGCAGCACTATAAACGAAAATTATATAATTGTATACCGTATAATTAACTAAAATAATAAGAAGAAGAATTTGCTGTATCTGTCCAGATTACAGGAAAGCAACGTTTGAAAATTGAATTTGTCTATATGTTATCATGATCAGAATACAGTATTCTAAAATAAGTGCAGTAATAAGCGTATATGCGATAATCGGATACCGGTAAGTGATATGCATATAATATACTCAGTACGAAGAGACAGTGATGATAATGTAAAGTAAAAAGGACAAATACATGCATATCCAGTCTATATCGTGTACGCGAAGCACTGTATAACGAGCGTGGCTTCTACCAGTGTCAATGATTATATCATACCGTTCCATATGAGGGAAAAATGGAAATCGTTATATGATCTTACTATCAATATATAAGGCAACGCAATAACAGGAGCTTTTGCCTATCACATACTGTATATCGCAAGATACTACTCTAATTTAGGATTGTTCTGATGTACAGTTCTGTGCTGCATATAAATGTACCCAAAAGAGAACACTATAAGAAGCTGCACCATATAGGAAATGAAATGGAGATACTGTACGTAGATGTTTAGCTACAGAAGCACAACTTCTAATCCTGCAGTCTGTCCGTGGCATCGCTGAGCAGGTTCAGAAATCAACGGTGTGTGGTATCTAGGTAACCCGCAGCGACTGTATCTAGGCAACAACAACATCGTCAATACAGTTCGCTGACCATCCATTAACGAATAAGAGCTAATGAATTACTACTATATTCTACAAAGCTGTTTAGCTACTCGAGTATAAGTTGACAACTCAATAGTAATATCATCATTTCTACACTTTTGAAAAGTTCTAGTCAACACGTATATAAGATAATTCAGTATAGTTGCAGATTAGAATCATTTTGGTATAGGTATTTGGCAACTATCTATCAGTGAGCATTCAGCAGAGGAGCAAGACTAAATTGAAAAGATTTAATTTTCCCGAGAATAGATTGAAGCAGCTATTCCGGATTTTTGATTTCATTATTACCAAACACAAAAATAACAAAATAGGAAAAAGTCGATCACATTCTCCATTGAAATAGAAAATATTCATCAATTAATCGAAGCAACGTCTTTAATTCCTTCTTGCTATTTCTAAAATTAATCAATTAACCCTCAACCCTATAACAAAATGCACCGAAGCTATCAATCGATTAATCCTTCTTCTAGTAAGATACTACAAAAACGTTGGGACGAAAGTAGTTACGACATTCATCGAAGGAAAGTAAGTATGATTTTATAATAAACTTAAATCTCATAAAAAATCCTAGTACTTGAAATCGTTTGAACTTTAATCCATCAACACATAATCTAGATCCAACGTTATACTATGTAAGGGATGGATTCTTTCACTTCGGTGTAATACAACTTTTATGTCATATTTTTTTCTATATCCTTATAATTTAGAATATACATGTAGCTAAAAGTCCAGTTATTTACCGTCCATTTTAGTACAACACAAAGACTTCATTCTAATACACAGTAGACAAATAGGCGCACTAATATTAATTAACAAGCCTTCATTACCCATTTAATTAACTGGTTAACTATTCTTTTCTCTAAAATTTGATTTACTTTCCATATTTCTTGGCTCTCAAACTACACACTAGTTATAATTTTGAGCTAGTTGGTGAAAATAAAATTTTTCTGCATTTGATGATTCCAATAAATAATCAATCGCTATTACATAAGAATATAGAGAATGAATTTAATCATCCGTTTCCACCTTTATAAATATAATCTATTTGTACAGTTAAATACAGTATAACATATTTGGTGTAAAGAAATATAGCCACTCAACTGTTAAATCATATTAATGAGTACTGATAGCGCTAATACATTAGCTACCAAGTAAACATGTCGATCGATGATCAGTAATAAAGCATTACAATGATATCATTAATGTATGCCCCAACTTTTTAACAACATACTGATAAACAATCTTATGATTGATTAAAGAATCACATCATTTTACCCCAAAATCATACTCTAAAATCAGTTTTTCAATGATACTTCTAAGTTGATCATTAACGAAATATATAAATCAACCATCCTGTTTAGCAATGAATAACGTTTTACCAATTCCGCTTATTGCGAGATGGAAAATTATAAACTGCAACGCCCAAGTAAAAAGCTCAAATAAAAAAATCTTAAGATTGATATAAAATCATACTCGTTTCGTAGTTGCTTATCAAAGCAGATTGACCATAAGTACAGTAGTAAATTTTGATAAAAGGATCTCGTTTTAATGATAAACTTCCAACGCAATTAGATTAGAAGCTACAGCATCTAAATATAGTTGCTAAAGTTTATAGTTTGAAAGTAATAAAATCCAAATTCTGTAGAGCGTAAGAAAATAAATCTTAACTGATAATATCTTCCTAAATAGCTTCATTTTCAACAAGACTCCAACCTATTTCATCTATTTGAAATAGTTTAATTCCCTTCAAATTTGAATTTGTTTCTATGAAAATATTTTCTAATTCCATATCTATTAATGCAACAATTCAGCATTTCTAGATACAGATAAACTACCATATAAATATACTCATATATCGCGAAATTGAAAAGTTTAAAATAATGTCTAATATTTAGAGTTATCGTAAGATCTGTTTCTTTGACCTTTGTCAATCTAATCAGTAGTTGGATGATTATTGCCTTTCGACGTATAGAGAGAGATAAATGGCAATTGTAGTATTCAACTCAAAACGCAGTATTAATGGAAGTGAAGTGTGTTTAAGTTTTCGTCAGTACACCCATATATACTCTTTAAATTCCCCTTTCTTTCTCAATAAAATATTAATTAACTATCATAACGAGAAATAATAATGCTATAACATGATTTTCTGACTTGAATAGATTAAAAATCTAGCATTGTACGGTTGATTGCAATTTCAACAATAAAGTGAAAAAAGTACCTGAATTATTATTACAGTTATTAATATTTTATTGAAAACCATTTAAGTTCTATATTTTCAAATTTACCCTTGTTATAGTATGTATAAAACAAAAAATTCAAATTAATCTAATAAAACTCTTTGCATTTTGCTTTTTACATGCATTCCAATATTTAGTTGCAGAAAGCAAAATCTGTTGTAAATAACAAGCCTCCGCAAACATACATGCATTTACATACCAAATTGAAAAAAATCCAAACAGAAGAAGAACGTTTAGCTGAAATCGAAAAAGACAATCGTTTATTGCTAGAGAAGATGTCTGGTATTATGAGAACCAGAGGAAGAATCGATAACGTCAATAGTTATGATCATAAAAGGTAACTAAAAGAGAGGAAGGCCAACATATTTTATTTCGTGTTGTTTACGTTTGGAAATAGTTTATAGTAATATACTTATTAGTAAAATATGTCTAATCATTATTTCATAACCAAGCAAATACAAGTTCTAGTACCCCTTGGTAAGAATACTTTCATTATTTTATTGCACAGCATGGAAGACTGCATAAAGACTCAACAATATTATGCCATAGTATAATTGAAATGTATAAAATTATTCTCATATTGTAACAGCAACTTCGTTTGCATCCGCACTCGCAACATATTATTAAACAACGTAAAACTGTCCAGGCTTATTAAACAGTTGCAACTTAAGTGTTTAATATAACTTAGTGATGCGTAACAAGAATATATTCATAGTACTAAAGATGGTGATAGATGTTTATAGACGATAAAAAAAATGTTTCTGGAATATTAGTAATTATTTTAGTCTATTACTAAAATGTAGTGAAAAGTAGTATTGCGTTGAATACGTATTAATGTCAATTAATAATTCCATTTTAGCTTGAACAAAATAAAAAGACAACGTGATATGTTGCGTGTTACGAGTGAAAATCAGCAGATATTAAAGAGAATATCTGCTAAAGAACCGCACTATAAGCATCAAGCTTGGGTAAGATTTTGTTTTTTTATATTTTATGAAACAGCATCTAATTTTAGTTTTTTCGTAATCGAGTATTCCATTGCTAGATACAATTATAGCAATAAAATCATCTAACTTTAGTTACTTCTTGAGATAAAGTATTCTGCTACTTTCATAGTACGAGATGTAGCAAAATAAATATAATATACAACAAGTTTAACGTTGCAGTAATTTGCAATATGCATTTATAGTCTACCATGCAGATGCAAAGCAAAGTTCTATTTTTACTGATAATTGATAAATGCACACTATGCTGTATGAACTATAAAATCTTATGCAGCTATAAGCCTCTTATGATAAAGACCGGTGCGTTAAAGCATTCTCTAATGCTTGTTAAACCTTCGAATGAAATATTCTATTACTATACTAGGATGATGACTGGAGGAAAAACCAACAATTTATGGAAAATATAACTCGATTTCCTAAGGATGTATTAGCGCAGCAAGTGGCTAAAGGCAAGCGCACAAATAAGAAAGATCCATCGGCTTCGGACGAAAGCCCGTCAAAATCAGATGATGATAGTCATGATGATGACAAAAGCAAAGTAACTGAACAAGCTGACAGTAGCAATGCAGCCGATCAAGATGCTAGTAAAGCTGCTCAAGATGAAGAAATTAATGAAGCTATTACTGAAGATCAAAATGCAACTCAAGACCAGCAGGAGAAATCCTTAGAAAAGCCTAAAACCCCTGAAGTGTCCGCTGAAGCTGAGGAAGCGACACCAGTAATATCAACAGAATCAGATGCCAACGCTACGATTACTGCAAATGCTACAGAAAGTAGTGATAAGAGTCAAGAAAAGAAAGCTTCTACTCCAACTACAGAAGAGTTTCGGCCTAAAAGTTCAGCATCGGCCAAATCAGTTAAATCAGCTAGTTCTGCTAAATCCATTAAATCTGCAAGCTCTGTAAAATCAGCAAAATCAGCTGCTTCAAGATCCAGTCGTTCTAGTAAGTCAAGCCACGATGATTAAGTATTGCGTGATTTTCCTCCACGACTTTACTGGATATCTTTAAAGTTACCTTATAAAGGATTTGGCAAATGTTTATGCGATACTATTTTCCTTTTGCTATCACCATGAAAAAAATACTAGTGATAAATCTAGTTGTCTCAACCAATAGAATCGTAACGATTAATATTTGCATGATTATTTATCATTACGATCGCTTTTAAATTACTTGACGACAGTATCTTTTTGCTACTCTGGATAGATTAAGAATTATTTTGTTTTACTTTTACAACGATGAATATGCATCTTATATTTAATAACTAATTCTGAAACAAATTTTTCAGGACAAATTAAGGCCTGATGTCTAGAACTACGGTGTATTAAGACTAATCATTTGCTACCCGTATAAAACAAGATATCACCTTTATTATAGAATCTTAATGATAATAAATACAATTTTAAGTTCTAAAGTAACTTACTGTAAGCGTTTTACAACTTCTAAATAATTTTTGCTACTATTATAACTCAAACCAGAATTATAAATAAAATACAGTGAACGGTAATATAGATTCTTCTGCAATAATTAGCATTCTTATTAGCATATTTTACTATGATCATTTCTATTAATTATCATCACATTTAGATTGGTATAGAGATTATGACTAGTTTCTTACGTTGTTAGGTTAATATTTACCAGTTGTTAATCAGTTGCATTTAAATAATTGAAGATTAATATCTGTTATTGTATATTTATTCATGTTATCAGGAAAAAATCAAAATAAAAAGATTATTTAAAATTTGAACTTTAAAGTTTAATTAATTCAGTATCATCTCAATATTTCGGTCACACGCACACATTTGTATTCAGTTATAAAAAAAGATTATATCTATTTCTCTAATAATATTTTGGATTTAAATCAATTTTATACGTGACTCCCTATCATTATCCCGTGTATTGCATAAATATCTAAAAGAGGACTGAAGTACTGTGTAATAAGCACAAAAGGCTACTTCAGTCTCTGGCACCTCTTTCAAACGTAGGAATTGTAGTAATTAGTTAAGATGAAGAATTGGCTGTTCTTCTGCATACATATTTCATCAAAATTGCTACTAGTGGAAAAAGGTCTATCTGGAATAAAGTCTTTTCGGAAACATCGGTGTTGAAATGTCACCACTAAATATTTATAGATAGCGCACAAAGCAAGATAGTTAATATGTTCGTATTGCGCGCTTCCGAGTATCGCAATCTGCATTTTATAGTACGGATGGAAATTTGGTAACAAATTTGGTATTCCTTGTTATGTGAGAATTTTACCTTTTTAATGATAATTCCAATAATACTTTTTTAATATACTATATATAAACTATACGCAAAGGACAGTATTTTGTAAAGTAGAATTTTTCTAAAAAAATGTAACGAACTTTCACTATTAATTTTACGTCTGGTAGCTGTAGTTTGCTTTAGAAGATAAAAACAGCTCAAACAAGAGTTTTGAAAAATATCTAGCTGTTTCGATTTTAAATTCTTTACTATTACAAATCAATCAATAATAAATATCCCTATATGCTAACAATGTGTATTGTAGCTGTTCTATAATTCTTTTATAAAAATTTGACAGCCAGATACGTATGAGGAAAAATTCTTGGATTTTATGTCATACTTTAGACCACAGTATTCTTATGGAAAATACTAATTTCCGATAGCAGAGCCATCTGAGATGATGACTATTTTATAAGGTAGTTAATTTTATTTTATTACCAGCTAGATTTAGAATGACATTGCAATAAATTATTTTAAAATAAACGATGCTTATTTTTAAAAGAGGAAAACTGAAATAATTCTGATATTAAAATAAAAATAACGACAGAAGAAAAGTCTATACATGTTCTTATTGAAACATTAGAAGTAAAAGACATAAATTAGAGTAATAATAATTATTGATGCTTAGACATAATTATTGAATATATCTAATAAGATTATTCTACTCAAATTATCATCAATTATTCATTGTGAGTTAGAATTTAGCAGTGAGATTAATTGTTACTAGATAGTAATAAATTACAGCAGCTAAAATATTTAGCGATAAATATAGTTAGTAGTTTATAGCTTTAATGAAATTTATAGAGACAGTTTTATCACAGCACAATACTTTGATTAGACATATTCAATATACATTACATCCTTATCATAAAGAATATCATATGAGAATCGTTGGTCTACCTCTTTCTAATCACAATATATTGTCTTCGTTATTAAAGGTAGCCCTTAGTACTACTTATAGAGAAATTATTATAGTCCGAGTACTCTTTACTGTTATCACTTGTCGCAGGTAAAAGACAAATTTTTGTACAAGTTGGTATAATGTTATTTTACATTGGATAAAATTCTAATACAAATTCTGATATTAGAATTATATATGGTTACTACCTATACTACTTCATTAACTCCGTATTTATATTCTCTTAGAAGTGTATTTGATAATTTATATTGCCATAAATAATGATGAGTAAGCTAAATGCTATAAAGTAATTACTAACCTTAGGAAATTTGATCAATTTAATGACTGCATTATAATAATACATCCTACTATTTTGCAGAGCGAATAATTTTTACCTATCCGTTAACACACGTTTCAAGTGGTTGATCCATAATATCATTAGTAAATTTATGTTAAGATTGAAAGCTTGAAATAAACTTATTGTGGATAATTAGTCATCCCAATGTCAAAACAGAAATCGATGAAATCTTGTAAATTGTTATTTATCTTCATTAGTTATAGAATCCAATAGAAGAATTAAAAATTAAAATGTATTACGAAGAGAATCCAACGTAGCGATTGAATTAAAACTAGATGGGTAAAGACAATGAAAGGAAGTATAAAGACTGAAGTTCTTATACTATATTGTCTGCAATCCATTCATCAGGGTCGTAATAGTTATCATTAGGATCGTCAATTTCTACTTTAGGTAATTCTTTATTAGAGCCAACATAACCCTTAAGCCAGTAAGTAATGACATTGCCCTTTCCCTAATGAGATAGAAAAAAAATTAAAAATCGTGACTTATATCAAAAATTTTGCCAACTCAAGGTAATAAGAATAGCTTTATCGATGGAATTATAAGTTCTGTGACCTAGACCGTACTGACTATAACTCTGCTTATTTGAATTGATAACATTACAAGGTTAAGTATATTTTCAATTTGTTCAGTAATAGTCCAATAAGGCATTAGGCGATTATAACTGATCACCAAGATAGGTTGGTTTACCTTAATAAAGATGGAACCTCTTTCCTTTAATTTAAATCCACCGATCTCCTCTAACACATTTCGGCAGGCTTGACTTACATGAATGCGTAACGCTAAATATATGAGAATTTGAAAAGATCACGAGGCTAATATTAATTTTATGAACTAAAATAATGTTCCTAACTGTTGAGAGATTCAATATGAATTTTCAAAATTTTCATTTTATTACGTTTTCCGTTTGATTCCATTCGCGATGCAACATTAACGGTATCCCCAAATAAACAATAACGTGGCATTTTCAAACCAACAACCCCTGCTGCACATGGACCTAAGAGCGTGAGGGTATATTTTATAACGGATTTTAATGAACTCGATAAAGTGATGTATTATTATAATAAGTTGCTATGGAATATAAATTAGTATAATAATCCTACCTGAATGAATTCCAATTCGTAGTTTTAATTGTACACCTGGTCTATGTCGAATTGTGAATTTAGTCATAGAACTAAGTAAATCTAACGCCAAACGGGCAATTTCTGATGCATGCTTGATACCATTATTAACGGGTAAACCAGAAACTACCATATAGGCGTCGCCAATGGTTTCAACCTAGAACGAATATTAAATTTTTTCGTAGTTTTAATAAGAAAGCAATTGGCTATAAATTCATAGTGTTCTAAAGCATGATATCAGTACTCGTTTTTTTGGGTACATGTCTGAGATTATATCTCAAAGTTCATTCTATAGAAAGTGTATCTAGTTATGTATCACATACTGTAGATATGTGTAAGGACAAAACAATACTCATACCCTATTTTAATTCAAAAAAAGAAGTACTCTATTATAGATAAAGTGTCGACATTCTATCATTATTAAATTAATATAAGTAGATGTATATGATCTGCACGACAGCATGAAATATAGGAAAGATTTGATGGACAAATATGTATCATATCGAAGATCCATAAATTCTTTTAGAATTTATTAATAATTTCAATTTACCTTATAGACATGATAAGAATCTATAATGGCGTCGAATAAAGTATAGAGATCATTCAGTAAATCGACCACTTGCATTGGAGTACTTTCAGAGGCCAAATTAGTAAATCCCACTATATCACTGAAAAAGATGGTAACATCATCGAAGCTAACTGCTGTAACTGTATTGCCAGCCTTTAACTGTTCAGCAACGGATCTAAAAAAATTATTTTAAGTCGGGCATTACATTAAACTTTAAATTACTAATTTTAGTCTATTTTAATGTTTACTAGTTGTATTAGAGGTCTTCTTTCATATTTAAATTAGTGCATTATATACCTTGGTAACATTCGGTACAACAATTCGTCGGTTTTTCTTTTTTCAGCTATCAACTGATGTGTTCTTTCTTCAACTAATTCTTCTAAATGATCAGCATATTTTTCCATCATGGAGATCATTTTATCTACCAAATTCATGGATCTGCAAAGATTTAATTGCGTAAATTACTATGCGATACAGTCATGTATTGAGAAAATACCAGTGTTGTGTGCAACAATAAAAGGATGTTGATTAACACCGTGAAATATCAAGGTCTTTTGAACACCATCTAATAAAGCATAACTAATTTTAATCTTCGATTAATTTGAATAAAAAGTCTATTCTATAAATTTAAACGTAGAAATACATGATTAATGGACATACTTTCCATCTGCAAATGTTCGCAGCTTGTTTTTAATAAGCGAAAATGAAGGTCTCATTTCAGGATTTTCTACCCAACAGTCATCCATCAAGGCTAACCATTGATTCCTACCGTCTTCTCCTTTCGTACAGGGGCGAAATGGCGGACTTTCACAGTTCATAATTCGTTCAATAATATCTTTTGGTGATAAATCGCTGTTACTATATGGTCCGTTTCTTGTAAAGATCTCGTAGATAATGATCCCAAAGCTGTAGATATCGCCTTTTTGAGTTCCATATGGATTATCTTTAAAATTCATATCTCTTAATAATTCAGGTGCTCTCCAAAATAAACCTATAAATAAGGTATGAATATGAATTACTAATTACTTAAATCAAATTTACTTAAAAACGATAATAGAAAGATATATGTGTATGATATCGCATGTGGCATTCCATTAAAAAAAACAATAATTAATGTAACCCTAATAGATCTTACGGTTATTTATGAATATCACATTCTTAGCTATATATACTCGTTCATATACACGTTGAGCAGTATGCAAAAAGCGAAGATGGCTGTAAGCTATCATACTTTGGGATTGTGCATGTTCTCCACGATGTAGTGCTATTTGCTCATCATCTTGATTACTTTTAAAAGTCGCTAAACCATAATCCGTAATTTTGCAAACCCAACGGCTATCAATAACACAATTAGAGGACTTTAAACTGCCGTGAGATTTAATTGACGAACAGTGTATATAATGCATTCCCTATATGATGGATAGAAGATGATTAATTTATTTAAGAATGCACGGATACTATCGATATTCTTAGGCTATTTTATTACCTTTGCAATATCCATAGCAAATGATAATTTGAAAGTATCATCTAATTTGATATCGTCATTTTCTAAAACATCCTATACGCGTACAATGATATTAATAAATTTATTTTAATATGTGTCTAACAGAATTCCACAGTGCAAATTTTTACTATTCTTATATTTATACCTGTAAGCTTCCTTTATTGCAATATTGTGTGACTATACATATATTTGGGACTTCAATACAAGCTCCAACAAACGGATTCACATTATCGTGATTCATATCGCGGACCTGAATATTATTTAAGTTAAAATTTTTAATATAACTGACGGTACTTACTATAGTGTATTGATGCCAAGTTAACGTTTTGGAAGATTACAAATAATTTACAATCAACTAACTTGTTTTAATTCTATAAGCAATGCTCGAGAAAGATCGATGTGCTTCTTATGGATCATCTTAATTGCTACAAAATTTCCCTAAACAATAAAAAATAGATACTCTGAGATTTGATGGACAATCTTATGATTTAATTCATTCAGTTTCAAATCGTCTAATTCCAAATATTAACTGTTTCAACAGTAATTCAAAAGTTTAGAATTAATTTTATCAGCTTTCAATTACCCTATATAAACCCATGGAAGTAAAAATTTGCATATCTTCCACATAAGACGCTGATCCTATAGATATCGCGTCGGCTTTATTTTTCTGTCGAACTGATACGGCACTACTGGGCCTACTTACTCCTTGCGGCTATTGGAGATATTATCAAGATTATTGTATGTTACAATGACGTAATTATTGTAAGTAGAGAATTTATACACGGGTATAATTCAGACAGGTCAATTCTTTTAATGCTGGATATATTGGTGTGGATTTATGATAAGGCATCTTACCTTAGTAGAGACCATACTACCAAACATATTTGCTCCAGGTTTTACATTAAATATAATTTCGTTATAATCAATTTTCCATAAGCTACTTGATAGATCAGCTTCAAAGCGAGATTTTCTAGTTTGTAAACAAAAATTTAACTATTGCATGACATTCTATACGTTTAGTTAAAATGGTTTGAATAGTTATTTTATATTATAATTATCTTAGAAATTTCTTTCTTTCTAATTTATTTTTTAGTTATACCTCCACAAATAGTAAAATATAGCGCTAAATAGAATGATTAATGCCGCAACAGAACCTCCAATTGCGCCTCCAAGAACACCTAAGTAGAAGAAGAATTATTTCTAATGATGATAACATTTCTTTAATTTAGTTTAGCTAGAATTATAAAATCATTCGAGATCGTACTTAAATTGCCTGAACACTTTTCATTTCGCCATCCACAAGGTGGTATGTCTTTAGGTACTACAGTCGTATTTCCAGGCCATACAACTACTTTACCAGGCGTCATAGAGAAGTTTTGTTGTGCTGAAACATATAATCCAATATCGACATATGCACCATTAATTAAATTCTGTAGGACATAATCAGGATCACGATCTCCATTTTGATCAATGACAACTTCTCCAGTAACACCTAAACAAATAAAACCAGTAATAGGGGAATAAATCTTTTTTCATATCACCTGAAGGTTTCTAATTTTACTTTACGTAGATTATTCTTTCTGCTCATTTATCAATTCAAGAGAAAGCGGTAAAAATTCGTGCAGTATCTTAGATTTTTTTTATTTCAGTATACAGTTTATCATAAAACATTACCTGTAAACGTTCGATTAAACATTTTTCTTGTAACTGTTAAACCATCAGTGATATTACCACCTTCTTGTAAAGTATCATTTAAAGCTAATGCATATAGTATGATCGCATCATGTAATGTTCCAGCATAAGTATCGACCTACGTAAAATCAATTTATATTATTAGCCGAAACTCTAATTAACAGTATAATCTTGTTATTTATTACAAAATTATAGGCTTTGCAAAGTAAGTTTATTTTCACAGTAAGGGGATAACAAGAAAATATTAACCTTTGCGTCTGCTGCTAACGGCTTGTTATATGGTGGAGCAGCAACTCGTCGACGAATATCAGCAGTAAAATTTTTCCATCGTGGTGAATCGGGTGTCCTTAAATGAACATTTAACATGCCATTATATGCGTCTAGGGCTTCATTATCCCGATTATCAGCGCCCATCCAGGTGTTAGCGCCAATATGAGAATCGATATTTAGTTCAACAGCAATAAAGGCGTAATCTCCATTTAACAATCCAAGATCTTTGGCATTTAACATAATTTCGCGTATATCGCCGCCATAAGCACATAATACAAAAACTGGTCAAAGTCAAGATAAAAATAGATGTGTTGATTTGTTATTCATCGATTGGTTATCATTCACATATATATGACAAGTTCTAATTTTATAATCAGTTGTGTAATTCATTTATAAGATTAATAAATGCTATCATACTTAATACAATAATTTTTCCATTAACGTTAACAGACTACTGAATGGTAATTTGCAGTATCTAGATGGTACGGTACACTTAAACTCATTGTAAATTTTTAGACTACTTTGAAGACAAACAGTTGCCCGAACTATTGAAATGAAATAGCTAACTTGTTACTGATTACTTATCAAATTGATTTGTCCCACATTAGAATGATATCTTTTACGTTAGGAGTAAACAGATTAATAATCTATAATTTACGTAATGCATACTCCAGACCGTATACAGTAGACAGTCGACAGTTAACTAGTCATCTATAATGGCCATTTAAGACATGATAGCGCGAAAACAGGTTATTTATCGAAATGAAAAGTGTGATCCCTTCTTGCTTTTATCAAAATAAATCGTTTTAAAATTAAACTACATTCAGAATATTTAAAGCAAAAGCGATTAAAATAGATTGTCATCAAGCTATTTAGTCTACATAAATACCTAATAGAAAATAAAATATTTTAAATCCCATCTTATGTAGAAGTTATTATGATAGTGACCGATTTCGTACTGTGATTCATGTATCATTAGTAATTCACATATTAGGAGTAAAATTGTTTCCGATTGCTAAATAAAATGATTTATCTAAGACATAAGAAATAAGTGTTGAGTACTTGCTCCTATTTCCTATATAGTCTTGTTAAAGTCCATATCATATTTAAACTATAAAGTAACCTGACTGATAAATTCATTCATTTAAAGATTACCTGCATTGCCGGAGATAATGATAGATTAAAATTGCGGTTAGACTACAAACGCTTATGAGTTATCGTCAGTAGCACGATTACAAAATCGATACTGATAGAAACAAAACGAAATTTTTTAACCACAGTAACTACTAGAGAAGAAAATGTCGGCCCTTTTCATATTATGAAAACAAGAAACAAATTCATTTTACACCCAATAGTATACTACAGCAATAATTAAAGTCATGGAGTATTTTATGATTGCTATGGCATACTTGATATATGATTACTAGTATTGCAGTATATCAACTTTAAAGACGCAAATAAGACTAAATAATCAATATCAGATATGAATTTTTTCATTAACTTTCTTATAAGTAAATATGATAGAGAAATAATAAATAGTTAATTAGACTACGTGATCGTTGCAATAAATAGATTTGCAAATCTAGACCTTTAGAATAAATATTAACGGCCGATTGTGTTATGCAAGATATCATAGTATGTTGCACGATATGATCGGTGCTTAACTACTGCATATAAGAATTTATTGGTATTCTACTGGCATAGTAAATTACTAGAGTAACTAAAGCAAGTACCGCATAGTATTTAGGATATCTGTGCCTTATTTCAATGTTTCAGTAATTTGTAAGTAGAAAATTACAACTACTACTAGCAATATGACGCTTCGAACCAAGTGCTATCAAAATGTTATAGTAAACTATTATCCTCTCCTAGATAAACTGAACCTATGCGTTATTAAAAATCAGGTAACTTGAAGTATAGTTAGAATAGCATTAGTTATTATAGCATACAGTAGACAATTTTATAAAACTTTGCATAATAGATAACGTAATTATCCAAAACACGAAAAGCATGTCTTCTAACGAAAGTTGGATATATTTATGTCCACCTAAATTGTGACAATCAGCTATTAAAAGCTAATAATTTCGTAAGTGTATAAAGACTACAGTAATTTGTGAAGTGGATATTGATAGGAAATAACGTTACTGTTTAAAGTAGAAGATCATCAAAATAGATAAATAAAGGAAACGTAAGCGGATGTAGTATTCATCTTGTATTTTCTTTCAACATCAACGAGAATAGAAAACAGACATATGTTCAAATTTCTTCATATACTATTTACATTTTGAAAGATTTTGTATACTCTGAGAAAGAAAACATAAGATGCCTCATTTATATAGTAGTTGTCACGGTTAAATGTCTTCGTCTTATTTTAGAAGCAAATACATGGAATAATTAATGGCTGCTGGATTTTAAAATAGATTTGTTCTTAATTCTGTTCTTTAAAGATTGTTAATTTCATAAACATCTACATTAAGATTTAATCGACGTAGAGGAGGAACTCTACTATCATTATTGCTTATAAATCCTTGGTTATGTTAAAAATTTTAACCGAATTCTAATTATCCTGAATTTCATCCAAACACTTGTTTTTAATAACAGGGTATGACTACTGCACATAAAGATCTTTATGGATTTAAAATATGATGACAGACTTCGTGAAAGAATCTAGATCAATGTTTCACAAATTTAAAAATTAATTTAGATCTTATAAAAGGTATAATAAGAAAAAATTAAGTCTATAAATGATCTTTTTGCTCACTCTCTAGTACATTTGATTATTATAATGCACTGGGATAGACTAAACACTCTCAATTTCTTGATCCATTGGCTTTTATTAACAGAGGTAAAAGCAGATTTTAGCATGAAAGTAAATCATGCTAAATATTTTTGTTGGATAAAGATTGGTAGCATTTTATCTGAATTAAATTGCCCGATTACTTATTCGATTTGTTATCGCATGATGGCCATAAAATTTAACTCAAATCTGAATCATATAGGATAATATTTTATAATTCGAGCAGTTAACTTTAAGTTCTAATTACGATAATTTTTAAATTTATTTCATATATTTGCAAAAAAAATGAGTAAAAACATGGCAAAGTCTGCTGTTAATCATATCAAGCGATTGCTTATGTATTTGATAGTATCGCTTTAAGCATGAATAGATTCTCACGTAAAGAACGGGAAGATTTTTGATTTAATGTACCTATATCCGATAATTGTAACATTGATAGTTTTTCTCTAAATTTGAGTAGTTTATTAAGTTAATTCTATTTCTGAAAGAACAAATACGAGAAATGTAAATGTCTATCTCAGTGATATCATGATTAAGGTTAATTTTGTCAATGAACTTGTTTCAAATTAGGCCGGCCGACTGTTGTCACTTACAGCACTATTAACCTGAGCATCAACGACTTACAGAGTAAGTTCCTGAAAAATTGCTAAAAATCTATCATAAGTCCCGATCTAAACTTTCTCCTGGCTATAATTAATCCATTTTTTTGAAAGCAATATCTTAACTTCGATGATTCAGTCGCTTGAATACGTGTACAAATGGTTCAGACTTTAACAAAAGCTAAGAATGTTTACTATTGTACTTGTACTTAATATTTTCTTATTCAAGAATTAAAGCATAGAAGAAATTGTTTACTATCTCAATTTCTAACTATCATCATGTTTAATAAAGTTAATTGATTTAATTAAGGAATTTCTTACTTTAAACTACAACTATTAAATGGATAAGCACTGGTAGATAAAAATAGGATTTTCCGTACTACAGCAATAAGAAATACGTTTACGGTAAGGATAGGCAGGGTATCTACAAGATGGATATGAGAAATATTCGTCACCTTCTGTAATACTTATTCAAAAATATCGAAACACTATGCCTATAAGATAAGATGATCATAATCCCTTGTCCCTCTCTAGGCTTCCCTTGAAAATAATGATCGTATTTATTTAAAATACCAGCACTACGTTAGATTACTCACGGGTAGTTTTATCACGATGAGATTGTAAGATATTCTTCGTTTGTACGCGATGGCGATCACCTCGATAACCGGGTACAAAGGACTCTTCATAAATAGTAATATTTAAATTTTCAAGTAACTTTTTAATATTAGTTGCCTGATACTGCCATATTTCCTGTGTTGATGCCATAATAGTGGCCGTCTTCCAGTGATATTGTTGAAGTATAAATGGAAATGAAGTCGCTAAAATATAAGTTGTACCTACAGTACGTGCAAATGTTGGATAAGTTACATGGCGTGATAGATCATCAACCGAACAAGCATATGATATCATGGGTATATTCCACGATCCAGCTAAGATTGCACCCGGTTGACAAACAACGCTACAATCAGGCCCAATAAAAACATGTGGATTAAACGTTGCTTTAATGTTTGCAATTGCAACTAAGCCATCTTTGGCTAAGCAATATGTGTTATAATATTTCATATTGATTTTAAATTGTGGCAGAAGTTGATATTTTACGATATCAGCTACACCAACAGGAACGGCACCTAATATTTTACTTAAAGTTATGTTATCGTTCCATGTTAGTAATGCGGCCATTCGCAATTCTGGTTTTCCTATACTATTTCGACCAGAAATAGATTTATTACATTTAGTTAGGTACAAAACCGATATCAGTAATGCCAATTGAATAAGGATTGATTTCATCATGGTGAATAATTTTCAATGAAAAGAAATAGATGAGTTATTAATCATGTAGGGCAGGAAAACGGAGATGAAATTTTGCTTTTTGAAACAGCACAAACAATAGAGAGAGACTCTTGTGGTATAACAATATATTAAATACAGAACGTAGATTTGTTTCCCAAGATCTTAAATATAATTGATGAGTAATTGTTGTAGGAAAATCAAATTTAAAATAAGGGTTAATTGCATCAACATATATGTATATATATAATTTTCCGTTCTTTATCCTTTTAGATTTTCAAAGAATGATTAAGATGTATTAAATTAGTTCTGACTCATCTGAATTGGTGCCTATTAATTTCAATTTTAGTTGGTAATTCAGATTCCAGTAGTGCGAAATGATTATTCGAGATTAGAAGGAGCAAAAATGAAATTTTTAGGAATTTAAAATTGCATAATGGCTAAATGAAAGCCATTTTCATCATCAGTAGATATACAAGACTATATTAGCTACAATATTGAATGTATATTTTAAAATAAAAGCGAGACAAAATTTCCAGATGCAAATTGACTTCAAGAACTTTTGTTTTATAACAATAATGATACAATTAAAATTGAA